ATCTCTCTATTCTGAAAACTATAAAACAAAAGATAAAAGAAAAATAGAATTATAGTATATGTGTGCATATGTGTGTGTGTGTGTGTGTGTGTGTGTGTGTGTGTATGTGTGTATTCCATAGCTTTAATAGTTATTCTTTAAATATGGTAGTGTGTGTGTGTAGCTTGATTTTCTTCTTTAAGATTTCCTTGGCTGGTTTTGGCACTTTAAATTCTCATAAAATTTTTATGGTTAGGTAGTCCAGTGGTCGGCAAACTCATTAGTCAACAGAGCCAAATGTCAACAGTACAATGATTGAAATTTCTTTTGAGAGCCAAATTTTTTAAACTTAAACTATATAGGTAGGTACATCGTTATTAACTTAATTAGGGTACTCCTAAGGCTTAGGAAGAGCCACACTCAAGGGGCCAAAGAGCCGCGTGTGGCTCGCGAGCCACAATTTGCCAACCACTGTACCAGGGCACTAGCTGCAAACACAACACCCCCCCACACACACTCCCCTCCAAATCTGTCAGGCTCTAGATGTGGGGGAGGGGCCTAGGAATCCGCATTTTAACCGGTCTCTTTGGGAAATCTAATAGACCATGACAAATAACCCCTGAAAGTCCTTCCCTGGGCTATGGTGCACACAAAAGAACACATGATGTAGATGACAGCATATTACAGGGCAGTAGGCACAACATCCCCCAACACCAATTTTACTAGAAAAGACTCAAGAAGCAATCAAATCTACCCATCTTCCTAAACTTCAGACAATTTAGGTTAGGATGGGTGCAGCGGGGTTTTGGTAGGGCACCAGATCCCTTAACTAGAAGTTTCTCAGCCCAGCCCTGAAATGCAGAGACTGAACTCCATGTTGTGAAGCCCAGCTGACCACTCAGGGTGTCCACACACTATCAAGCATATTGATTTTTGGAGTGGTTTAGCATTTCCATTGATTATGAAAATGCCGGGGGCCTCCAGAAGCCAGAGTATTCAACAATCAATTTTGCAATTTATTCTTGGTTAATAAATAGAGTCCAGAGTGGAGTCAGAGGCAAGAGAAGGTGGATATGGACCTACCAGAAATGCAACCAAAACCAAGGGTTATCAAGAGTTTGCCCGGTTGGCTTGGCTCAATGGTTCAGCATTAACCTATGAACCAGGAGGTCACAGTTTGATTCCCGGTCAGGGCACATGCTCAGGTTTCGGGCTCCATCCCCAGTGTGGGGCGTGCAGGAGGCAGCCGATCAACGATTCTCTCTCATCATTGATGTCTCTGTCTCTCTCTCCCTCTCCCTTCCTCTCTGAAATCAATAAAAATATATGTATTTTTTAAAAAGCTTAATGCATGTACCATACCAGGCACCTCCAATGCCAAGTAACTTGAATTTTCAGTTATGAAACTGACTGCTGTTTGAACCAGCTTGGAAACAGGTTAAAAAAAAAAAAAAAAAGGCAACCACAGAGACGCCAATGTTTTCCCCTATTAATTGCATGTTTCTCCTTCTAATGCTAGGCTGCGTCACCCATTAAAAAATCCTGTTTGTTTTTGCAGGCATTTACAGAGACGCAGAAAAAAAGATTGTTGTCATGGAAACAGCAGGTGCAGAAGCTCTTTCGGTCTTTCCCTCGGAAAACCCTTCTAGACATATCAGGATATCGACAGCAAAGAAAGTACGTTGGGATTTCATTGTTTGTAATGCATGGTGGCTCCCAGGTGCCTCATTTGCCTGCCTGGGTTCCCGGGGCAGGACAAGGCAGGGCATTCCTTAGTCATCAAGGTGCCCTGTGGCAAGTTCCAAATCGCCATCCTTAGACAGGTGGGGTTGGGAAAGGCTGTGGAGAGAGAGCATTCCCAGAGGAAGAGCTGAATGCGATCTTTTGTAACTCAATTGACATTGTCAAAGTGACAGCGTTCGTCCGGATGCAGAGAGTGGGTATAATTTAATGAACGCCAGCAGAACACTTGGTAGTTTATCCCCAAAAGGGGGCTCTGAAAGGACAGAAACGGATTGTTCTCTCAGCACCTTAAGTGGGCGTGTAATTTTTTTCTCTCTTCTAGCTGCAGACAAGCTAATTATAGTTGGTGGCAGGGTGAAGAGCCCAGTGCTAGTCTATTTTGGTCTGAGTTGCAATCTAAGAGTGGAGCAGCACCGTTCTCGATTTCTCATAGTGTTTCAGGTTCTTGGATGCAGTTAAAAATAAGCCGTATTGTACTTGAGACCTCCCTTCCCTTGATCTGGCTTTAAATTGAGGAATCCAATAGCACATGAAAGGGGAATTACCGTGCCAGTTAGTTAAGGGGAGGCGTGGATTAAGCCTTGTACAAATGACGGAGTTTGGGGGAGACAACAGAATGATGATGCGAACATCCTCAGAATCCACATTCCATTTATTTTTGCATTTTTAAACATGAGCACATCATGTTTTCACTTGCACCTGAAAGGTTCTGAATTCATTTCTCAGTGCATTTATTTGCATAAGCGTGCCTTCCAACATCACTGTTGGATATTATTTAAGGGGGGGTGAGGCCTGTTGAAATTTGTGAAGTCTTTGTTAAAGATTAATGTAACATGAATTATCCAGCCTATACAACACGGTTACTTATTAAACGAACATTTAACCCTTACTATGTGCCAGTGATCCAAGCACGAGAAGAATATTAGTACATTTAATCCTGCAACAACCATGTAAGGTAGAGGAGCTGCTGTCGGAGGAGTCGGTAGGCGATGGCACCCAGGATTTGGTTCAGGCAGGCCAGCGCCAGCATCAGTGCTCTTAACCACTGTGGATGCCAGGCAGCTCTCATGGTCTTTGTGCAGAAGAGATGGGCAGGTCAAGCAACACTCTTTATTTCCCACTCCCTGGCCCCATGCTCTCTGGGGTGCCTCCCTGGTGGGTTGGGCTGGATCAGCTCTGCACCCTGATGAAAGGCCAGGCCCCTCCCCTGGGGCGCCCCCCCCCCTCTTGAATGGATAGCAACACTTCTCCCAAGGATGAGGAGGAGGTGCCAGCCCCTCTTGCTACACCGGCCCCTTGGGAGCCAAGTTCCAAGCGGAAGAGGGAAGTTAGAAGTTGACCATGAAGATAGAGCTTTTAAGGGCTTTGCTTCTCATCCCAAAGTTTCACCCCCTGCCTCTGTCTGCCCTGCCTTGTCCTTGGTTAACCTTGACCTCTCTAGAGTGTGACTACCTAACGCTTGTTTGAGGTTAACCTAAGGTTTGCCAGATTGGAGTCCCAGTGGACCTCTTTTTATGGATTAGATAAGAATGAATTTAATCATGAATTGTAGATGTTCAATTGGAGGCTGCTAGAGCGCTAGAAAATAATTTGTTCTCCTACGTATTACCTTTGGGATCTTCTTATGCTATTAATTTGCTTTGAAGACCCGTTTCTCCAGTAATACAAAGGTATCTGCTGCCCACCCCCTGCTTGAATTATCCCAAATCCCAAATTAATTGGTTCTTATTTAGTCTTTTCACGCATTTCAAGATAATGAAATCAGTTGGTTAGATTTAGGAAGGCAAAGAGAGACGCAAATGGGCAGAGGAAGAGAATGAAAAATGAAACTTTACTTTTGTCGCTTTATTCTCTCCCCAGAAGAAATGATTATCTCATTAAGCCTAGTGATCTTAAGTAACTTAAGCGTTCACTCTGCTTGCCAGCAGTGGCACCGCTCAACAACCCTGGCTTTGTAATAAGCTATTAAGGACGCCACAGTAGAGCCCCACCGTCATTAGAAAGATGGCCTAGCCAAGTTCTCCCCACCCACCCATTCTGTCCCCAAAATGTTCAGGGCTTTCCCACCACATCCAGCCAGCGAACCCTCACTTCTGGAGTGCCTAGAGCCCTTGCTCCTCCAGTGGCCCGTAACAGAACCCTCTGCCCACATTCTATTGCTCAAGATATACTCTGTCTTCCTGGAAGCACACATCCTTTTAGCATCATTCACTGACTACTGTATTTTGCATATGAAGTAACTTTTAAAAAATCCAACTGAAAAGGAAAACGAGAGGGGAAAAAAAAGCCATTCGCACTAAATAAGGAAAAGTCTTAGCAGAATACTGAATCATCTACCAGGTGGCCAAAATTCTGACTCAAAAACCAAAGGCCTAGTTTTCATAGTTAAAACACACACACACACACACACACACACACACACACACACACACACATACAAAACCTCCGTTTGCTCTCCACCTGTCAGTCACTCAGATGGTCCTTCCCCCAGGGGAAGTCTCTGGGATCCCATGAAAGGACTCCTACCCCACCTGGCCTGAATTTCCTCTTTCAAACCAAACTTTTGAAACCTTAGTCAAAGTAGAAAGAGGGGCAGAAGAGGGAGGAAGGATGAGATAAACAAAGAGACCTAGAACCCAGGAGTGCCCCTTCTCACCATGCACAGAGGAGCCACAAAAGCCTGGAAGTGGAAAGACATAGCCCAGAACTCAGTTCAGCCAGCTCACCGTGGAATTCTCTTCCCTGCCCTCCCTCCTCCCTGGGAAAAGAGGAGCACTGGGGAAAGAGGAGCATTTCCTGAGATCTGCTGTGCTGATGGCTTAGGGGCCCCTCCCCCTAGGCACACACAACTCTCCCTCAGGAAATGACTGTTTAGCAGGGCCCCCCACCCCCACCCCATCATCCTCAACTGGTGAAATACGTCAGCCCTGTCTCGGGAGTCTCCTCACAGGCCAGGCACAAACCTCCCCTGCACCGTGGGGAAAGCGAGTCTGTTCCCTCTTGTGGCCACTGGAGGTAAAGCATTTCGACCTAAACATCAGTGAATGACTAAAGCTGACTCTTCTTGGAAAGAATGTGCTGGTTCCTGAAACCCCGCTGGCGGCCGCGCGCCCTCCCAGAACCTGAGGCGTGTGAGAGAGGACAAGTGCTTTGGAGATGAGGTCACAGCAGCGAAGGCAGCACAGCCTCCGAGTGCTCGGCTTGGGTCTCCGGCCGCTGTCCTGCGTGGACCCAGGGGGCACACGCCGCCTCTGGTCTCTCTGCAGGGAGGGCCTGCGCAATGGGCAGCAGTGGGTGTCCGGGGGCCAAACACCACCATCTCCATTCTCCTATCCCTGGAGTCAGCGCCCCCACCGTGGGTCAGTCCTGCCATGTGGAGAGGCGCCCTGATGGCAGAGGCGAGTCCATTCTTTCATTCATTCAACATGCCTTTACCGTGTCAGGAGCTGATTCGGTCACGGAACACGTAGGCTTGATGAGGACAGACGTCGACCTTTTTTTCAGGGGGCTGACATCCTAGGGGGCTCCCAGGCCAGTGTCCCTGAGTCTCCCACAGAGCCAGATGGACATCAGGGAAGACTGTGGTGTGATGGAAGGAACACTGAGCCTGGCTGTGCAGCCTTCTCGCTGTGTGGCCTCTTGACAGGCGTGTGAGTGCTCTGGGCCCTGTGACCAGCTTGGAAGAAGGCCCAGGAGTGGCCTGGTTAAACCTCAGGGCTGCCAGCACTGCTCCCTGCTGGCTGAGTGACCTTCGAGAAACTATTAAGCTCTATGTACTTCTCCAGCTGTAAATAAAAGTGGATAGAGCGCCTACTTCAGTGGGTTGTCGTGAGGATGGAAGAATCAATGTAATAGTGCCCTGATGGTGCACGTAACCTTTGCTCTCAGCCGTCAGCTGTCGTTTTAATCATAGCCCTCTCCTGGCTCAGACCCCCCAGGACCCCATAGGCCTTATGACTGTCAAAATGCCAGCAGACCAACCCCCACCCCCAGGAGGTGCCCCACAGGCAGCCTCAGGGGGTGAGATGGCTGCAGGGGACTCATGTTCCCTGGTTCTTCTCTGTTCGCTCCCACAGTCGCGGCTTTGGGCAGTCCAACTCCCTCCCGACGGCCGGCTCTGTGGGCGGCGGCATGGGCAGACGGAACCCACGCCAGTACCAGATCCCTTCTCGGAACGTCCCTTCTGCCCGCCTGGGCCTCTTGGGCACCAGCGGGTTCGTCAGCTCCACCCAGCGCAACACCACAGCCAACCCCACCATCATGAAACAAGGAAGACAGGTTTGTTCTGCACCGGAGAGGAGGGTGGGCAGCCAAGCTCAGCGCCCGAGGCTGCAGGATGTTTCCCCAGATGACCCCAAGGTGAGGGGAGAGGCCGAGGGGGCTGAGCTGAGAGACAGTGTCCCTGTCCTCTGCGTTACCGACGTCGTTTGCGTTGTTCCTCCGGGAGATAGACCAGGGCTGAGGCTGGTCTATCACAGGGGGTGGCTGAGGAGGCCCCGGGGACCACTTCAACCTTGGGGGCCCCGAGCAAGGTGCCTTTAGAAAGACATGTAATACCTGTTTATTGTTTGCCCCGACCCTTGACTTGCCCCAGCAGACCTCACCACTTCCCAAACTGGGTTCCAGAGGAACCTCTGCCTCTAAGGAACTTGCTTAGCGTTTTTGTTCGTGGCACGTTGCTCCTTCGTTGTGGTCCAGCTGTGGGGGAGAAGCCACAGGAAGGAGCTGGAGAGGCCTCCGGAGGGAGGGGTGAAACCCACTCGGCCAGACAAAGCTGTGTGACCTAGATGTGTGGCCTAGAGCTGACCCCTGTCCCGCGGCCCCACGCCCCTCTGCCCCCGTCCCACACCCTGCCCAGTGTCCCCCATCCATGTACCTCCAGCTTTGTGGGGCCGTGTAGGTTGGGGCTGGGACTGCAGAGACACAAGTGGGCCCGAGGTTCTGGGTTGTCTTGAGAAATGCAGGGGTGACAGATTGGTCTAAAAACAGGAAAACGGCTCCAGGCACGACAGGCGGGATTGGCTCCCCGGGGAGCAGCACGGGGTATGAAAAAGCCCTGAGTTCTGGTCATTGTGGGCAGCCCCCAGGTCAGTCCAAGAGGAAGTCACCACATAGTAACAAACACAAGTCCAGCTGTGCCAGCTCATTGCCGATCAGGGCTTCTTCCCCTCGCCCCCCACCCCCCACCCCCCACTTTGAGTAACTTGTAAGAATCTCAAAGAAATCAAATGAGATTAGTTGGCACCTGAAATGGCGCTCTTCATGGCAAATATCTATAAACGCCCTCTCCCCCCATTTCCAAGAAAAATGACAGGAAAAGCAAAAGCAACAAAAGGGATAATAGGGAGGGGGAGAGGGAGAGAGGTGTCCAGATTGAACTGAGGTTTAGAGAGGGGCCTGGGGCTCAGGAGGTGGGAGCAATGGGCATGTAGCTAAAAGGCGCAGAACCTAAAATCCCTCACTATAAATAAGCAGATGGGCAGCGCTGGCCTGACTCACGGTTCCCCTTTTGTGTTTCTCACTAGAACCTCTGGTTTGCCAACCCCGGGGGCAGCAACAGCATGCCAAGCCGCACCCACAGCTCCGTGCAGAGGACCCGCTCGCTGCCCGTGCACACTTCTCCCCAGAACATGCTGATGTTCCAGCAGCCAGGTAGGGCCCGGAGCCTGCTCTCTCGCTCTGCCCTCCCCTGACACACCGGCGGGGCCAGGACGCCAAAATAGATGCCCCGGTGAACCCAGCTGGGAAGTGCGTAGCCTCGACTGTCACCACGCATTCTTGCGAGCTTATAGAAGCTTTCTTTTTTTAAACTGTGCCTTGCCAGCATGAATAGCGGCTGGTTGGCTGGAAGCCAGCGCGAGGAGCCCCGCAGTCGTTGCAATCTGACGGGGATATTTTTGATACTAGTCATATTTCTAGGTTGATTAAAGCAGAGATACCACTGGAGGGCTTGTGGGGGGGGGATGGGAGGGGTTCCATGGGGGCGGGCAGTGTAGAGAGTAAGACAGATAAAGGGAAGGTTTGGCAGCGCTGATGCTAAGGGACCCCTCCCCCACCCCCGGTTTGGGAGTGCCTTGCAAACATGACTGCTGGACCGGCCATCTTTCCTGCACTGGGTCAAAGAGCATCTTAGTGCAGCTCAGGTCCATTTCACCATTCACCTTGCCCCTGAAACAGGCAGCCAGAATTATGTACAACCAGCAAATACTCGCACCCTTTCTCTGTGCAGACAGGGACCTTAGACTCCACAGAGAATGCAAAGCCACACGAACAGTCACCACTGCACCTACTTAGATGCCCCCCTCAGGCAGGCAAACCCAACGTGCACCTGCAGGAAATGTCCAGCCTGGGCAGTAGATGCTCTCGCTCTGGGCATAAGTCCTCCAGGAGGTTAGGAGGGGCAAGGTCACTGTGGCCTTGGGTGGGCAAGGAAGCGTCTTGGAGTTGGGGCTGAGTTTCAGGGGACAGAGGGTGAGGACTTGGAAAGAGGAAGACGGCACTGCAGGCCGAAGGGGAGCAGGCTTCAGTGGGACCGAGGGGCCATGGTGCGTCCCAGAAGCCATTGCTGCGCTGAAATAGCAGAGGGTTGACCAAGGGAGCTGGGAAGATGGTGCCCGGTGGTGGGGACTCTAAATCCAAGGCCAAGGAGCTCGGAGCCCAGCGCTCTCAGCGGGGTACCTGTGGAAGGTTTTGAGCAGGGGGTCAGGCAAGAGTGTGCATGGACTGTGACGGGGAGGCAGGCTGTGGGTGGGGAGGCCACTGAGGACGAGGAGGGGGAGGAGGAGGAGGAGTGGAGCTGCCGTGGGGCAAGGTGTACCAGGAAAGGAAGGGGCGTCCACAAGGTCCGGATGCCTGTGTATAGTTGCTTCTTGGCTTCTGTATTTGTGCACCTTTGTTTTAAAGCTCCTTTTCTCCGTTTTGATACTCGTAGCTATTTTTCTTCCCAGGCAGAAATACTGGATAAAATTCAGGGGTTGTGCATGTGACCCCTGGGTTGTCCAGTCCCAGCCTCTGCTACCATGCAGAACTGTGGGTAATCCACTCCCAGTGACAGAGAATCTGGGCAGGACTTGAAGGCATCCTGGGCACCAGGTCTGTGACCTTAAGCAAACATCCCGCGGCCAGGCCCAGACAAGGACTCACCCTCCAGAGACAGGGCCTCGGAGGTGGGCCGGGCGCTGGGTCTCCTGTGCAGGTGGGGCTCTCCCTTTCGCTGCGCGTCCTGGTTCGCTAGGCGGGCGTCTAGGGGTGGTGGCGGGACACGGGGGACTACAGTCAGTCTTCTCTCAGGGCTGCAGGAGTCAGGAAGGCAGAAGGTGGCTGTAAGAGTGAGCACAAAAGGGAACAGAGACATGTGACCAACCCAAAATTAAATGCTCAGAGAGCCGCGTCACAGGACAACATAGTGGTTTCTTACTGGCCGGCGATGGCTTCAGAGCATCCGTTTTAAACCCTCTGGGCAAATCTTGGAGACTGCAATGCATTCTAAAGGAGCTTTTATTTATTCTCTTAACTTAAAATGATTCATTGAAATCATGGACGACTTTACATAGCTCCAAAGAATATAGTAAAGGCTGGGGGATAGAACCAGCACCAAGTTGAGCATCAGCTAGTCAGTTGCCTTGCTCAGATGTGCAAGAGGCTCCCCTCTCTTCAGGACCCAGAGTCTGGCCCCTTGGCAGCCACATCAGGGTAGTTTTCACCTTATTCCCACACACGCAAGACGCTTCCCGGGACGAGCCAGGAGAGCCACGGGGGATGGTTGCCTCTCGCTGCCTCGGGATGAGTAGGAAACACGAAGTGAGGGGACAGGGCCTCATGGACTCACCCTGGAGGGACTTCAGCTCAGAACACGCCTGGCGCCTGGTGAGAGGGCTCAGGGTCCTCGCAGAGGCAGGGCGTTTGCCCAACTGCAAAACTCGTCTGGAAACGGCTTGCAGAACGGTGCCCTATCTCGGAAGAAACTCGATTCCTGTTGACGCGGCTCAGCCACCCTTGGGGTCCAGCCCTGGAGCAACACTGGGAAGCCGAGGCTCCCGACACCTGGAGGGCCGGAGAGAGAAAGGGCAGAGGGCGGCGGCAGCAGGCCTCCAAGGACAAGCCCGGCAGAGGGTCGGCTGGCAGCCCCACGGAGATCTCGCTCTTCCCTTGCACAAAACCATGTGCACACGACCCCTGGTGCTGGGCCACCAGATGTGAGATGGATACGGAGTGCCTTCCGTGGTAGCATTTCCTGGGAACATACCCGTTCCCATCGTCCTCCCCTCTGCACCAGCTCACGCTTGCACTTCTCCCACCATTAGACTGCTGCACGTCTGGGAGCCGTCACCATTCATTTCCCCCTTCGTGTGAGTGAGTTTCCCAGTTCCTTTCAGAGAGAGTGGGGGAAGGGAGAGGGCATACGAGCCCTGGGTGCTTGAGGGGAAGGCAGGGGCTGCCATGCAGAGGCCAGAACAAGGACCCCCTTAAATAATAAACATTTGCCCTCTGCCTTCTAGTGAGTAGGCCAACGGCCCTGCTCAGGGAGGTTGGTGGGTTGAGTCCGTTCTATCACAGCCAAGAACCCAGCTGGGCCCGTGCCCCCCTGCGTCTGAGAGTCACATGCAAAGACCAACTTGCAGCAAGATGGGACAGTATTATTGTCTTGCACCGTATTCTACTCATCGGTTTTTGGGGAAACTGTGGGTCCCGGAGGATTTCCACAACACTCCTCCACAGGTTTAGGAGTGAAGCCACCGGAGAAGAGCCTCAGCCACCATCACAGACTCGGGGTGCGACTCATTCATTACTCATGTCCCCCCTCCCCCACCAAGACTCTCGGTGATCACCAGTCTGCCTGCCACGTGGACCCCGTTTCCTGCCCACACTGCTCTCTCTGCCTTGTGTTACCATCCTCCCCTTTTCTTCTTGGTTCCGGCTTTGTCTCCCTCTCTTCCTTATCTGCCCCCCACCCCACCCCCATCACAGCGATCCAGGTCCCACTTCCCGTCCTCTGTCCCTTCCTCACCAGCCTGTCTTTCCTGAGTTCTCTCCAGCCCTTGGCCCTGCTTCCCACTTCACCAGGCTTTCAAAGCCTTTCAGGAGAGGCGCCTCAGATGCCACTGGCGAAGTGGGAAGGTTTCCTTCCTAACATGCCGACCTGTCTCTTACTCTGAAGTCCTGAAGCCATCGGCCTCCTGCCTCAGCCTCGATGCCTTGAGAGAGATGCGCAATTGCACCCTGGGTGCCACAGGCCTGAAACTCAGCAGGACTGCCCTGTGGTTGCCGTGGGAAAGCCGCCTGGGCCACCCAAGTGAAAAGCCCCAAGTCAGCCTAGCCCTGGGCATCTGAGAGCCGGGAGCCGCACTGACTCCTGGAACGGTCTGATGGTGAGGGAAGAATTTCCAGTGCACAGAGGTGGCATCTGAGCCGAAGAGACAGCAGAGGACTCAGGTGCAGAGTCCTTCCTTTTTGCCTTCTAGGAGACTAGAAGCCGCATCTGCCTGGTCCATTACAGCCGGGGGCCCAGGATCACTGCGATGAGTCCGTAGGGACAGCAGGAGCCATGGCAAGAGTTGGCTGGTGGTTACTGTGGGCCTGTGGAGGAGGAGCTGCCCGGATGCTCCTCTAAGGTTCTGAGAGCTCCACCCACCCACACGTGGCTGAGGGCTCCTAGCCTGCGACGGAGGCTGGTACCCACCTGTCTGGTATGTGCAAAGAGATGCGGCAGATCTGTTTTTATCAAATACCCAATTAAGAAGTCACACTATTAGGAAACTCGGGAATATGAACATATGTGTTTCTCCCAAGACTTGGAGCTTTTCAGAGCCATTCTGAGAATGGAGGGGGTCATGACTCCCGGCGCGCCGGCGGGAGGAGCTGGAGGAGGAAGAGCAAGCACGCCCACTCTCCGCCTAAAAGAGCAGCCACGGAGGTTTGGAGATTCTGGAGCGTAGAGCCCTGCACTTCTCAGCCCCCTTTTTGGAACACGCAATCCCAGGCTTGGAAAATGTCATTTTGCTGCGTGTTGGCAAGAAATCCCGCAGCTGAGACACTTCTCTCCAAATGTCGAGCATCTTTATTTATCCAAATCTCTCCACAGTGTTTGTTTAAAGGGAAGTGCTAGAGAGTAAACTAAATTTTACAATGAGCATATGGATGGCTATAATTGCTGAGGGTGTTTTTTTTCATATTTGCTAACTGGCTCTATATAAAACTGTGTTTCTCTTTTAGAGATTTCACACCCTGAAGGCTGCTAATTTTTGCATGCATATGATTTTCACATGAATGGATGGAAACACTAACATACTCTCCCCCCTGGATTGTCTAAGTGCCCCAGCTCCCCTTTGAGAGCAGCCAGCAAAGTGGGCAGGGAGACCCTTGCATTTTCCCTCTCAGTCGCCCTGGAAGCCCCATTGGCCTCCTGATCTGGCACAGAAGTTCCACTGATGCTGGCACTTGTGTGCAGAACCCTCTCAGCTCCCAGTGCTTTCTGTGTCGGTCCGTTCTGCCAGCCTTCTCTTTGAGAAGTTTACGTAATGGAAATGACATCTGCCTCTGAGTGAGCTGGTCATGGGGAACCCAGATTGCAAAGGGCATTTAAATGTACAGCCAACCAAGGAAAACAAAGGCCTGCTTTGGTTTAGCCGTTGGTTTCAACTTCCCATCCCACCAAACCACCAACGCATTTGTAATCCCCGGCCCAGGCCCTGAGCGCCCCCTGGTGGAGATGTGAAGGAGCAAGGACATGGCCTTAAGTTTGGGACACAGGCGGGATCTTTACCGGGAGAAGAGCTAAGGCCCCAAGAAGAGAACAGCTTCCCAGGGTCACCTGTGGAGGCAGGGGCAGTGCTGAGACTCCCCAGGCACAGAACACCCCCCTCCCCCCGGCTGATGTTTCTCCTGCCTCCCCGCTCTAGGACTTAAGGTCTCAGCTGTCAGAGTTGCTGTGTCTTGCTCCATTTCTGACTCCTCAGTGGGCATGGACGAGGTGCAGAAAGCCATGCCGGGGCATTATGGGAGATTGCGAGGACTATGAAAGCGTCGTCGCCGTCTGCAAGGCACTTCCAAGCTAGTCAAGGCTGTTCCGGAGCTCCACGGGACAAGGGGCCGGGGAGAGGCTGACCGCAGGGGCCCCCAGTGGGACCGAGGAGGAAGGCCCCAGGGTCTGGAGCCTGGGGAGACAGGGAGGGTCTGCAGAGAGGACATCTCAGCCCAAGGCGGTGTTGGCAGGGAGAGCACCGGCTCTGGGTTCCATCCCATGCGGGTTCCTGGCCCAGCTCTGTGTCCGCTGGCTAACCTTGGCGGGTCACTCAGCTTCACGGAGCCCCACCTGGGAACCTGGCGCCCGGCGCAGGCTCAGGCGCAGAAGAGGTGCTTTCCACGCTGTGGTTCCCATTTCCTGCTGCTCAGGAGGAAGCAGACATGTGCCTGCTGGGCCCGGGGCAGGCACGGGGAGCAGAGCAACAGCGAACTTTCAACTGGGGAGGCAGCAGATAAATGCATATGTCGGGTGCTGTGCCATCTATGCAGGGAAGGAAAGCAGAAGAAAGGGATGGGGCCGGAAAGGCCTGTTCACATACAATGAACAGAAGGTCCTTTCTGAGGAGACAGTAGAGCAAGAGACCACATGGCAGGGAGAGGGGGAGCCGTGGAGACATCCAGGCCCAACGTTCTGGGCAGATGGAACAGCAGTGCCAAGACCCTGGGGCCGAGGAGGACCCGGGGTAGACTGGAGGAGGAGTGCACCAGGGCAGGAGCTAACAAGGAGCCAGACTGTGTGGGGCCTGCAGGCCATGGCAGGGGTTGGGTTGCCTCTGATGGGAAGGCGCTAGCTGGTTCTGAGCAAGGGACGGACAGACGGTGACTCTGAGCAGCTATTCTTAGTCCCCACTCTTCTTCCAGCCGCCCACATTCACAGTGGACTCAGGGAGTGTGACCTCGGAGCTTGGTTGAACCCGAGTGTAACCTGGCCTCCGTGCTGGCCCCGACTGTCCCCTCAGGTCCCCCCAGGGAGGCCCAGCAGACCCTCGCCCTGGCAGGTGGAGCCAGGGGCACTGTGCACACTTTCTCTTTGTTCTTAGAACCCCCGTCACCAACATAACCCTTTGCCCCCTGCAGAATTCCAGCTTCCCGTGACTGAACCTGACATCAACAACAGGCTGGAGTCGTTGTGCCTCAGTATGACCGAGCACGCCCTGGGAGGTGAGTGTGCTCCTGGTGGTTCTCATGCCCGGAAGAGCCACTGGCCGCCTGCCCTCTACACTCTGGCAGTCATCTGGGGGGATGGGAAGAGCACAAGAAGGGGAAGGCAGGGGACCGGAGAGAGAGGGGCCTCAGGGGCTACGGGACTGTCATCAAGCCACCCCACACCCACTGGCCCACGTGCCCGCTCGTCCTCCTTTTTTGGGAGGTGAGTCAGGAGGACCTGGAGCCGAGCCCGGGCCCCTTTCCCAGAGGCTCGCCCTGCAGTGCGCAAGGGAGTCCCACCACAGGCCAGCCCAGCCCAGCGCAGGGAGCACGTGGCTTCGGGTGGGAACGTGCCCACAGCACGGCATTCTTTCCTCCTCGGCACTAGATTCCCCAGCCTGGTCCAAGCATATCCCAACTTGCTCTAAAACCAGGAGTTTTGAGACAGAAATCCCTGCTGGTTTTTATATCCAAACGGCTCCACAGTGCCTGGCGCCCCGGCAGGCCGAGGTGTCCTTCGCAGTGCGATGGGGCCATCCAGTCGGATGTGCCTGTGGTGGGCAGGGCTGTGGCCGCAGAGAGCTCCCAGAAGCAGCGGGTCCTCCCTTCACCTGTTTGAAACCCTGCATTGTCATCACAGCCCCGGGAGGACTCCGTGCCCTCCTGGTACTACCCGGGTGTCTTTCTCCAG